TGAGCTTTGCAAATGTGAAAACATCGTATTCTATTAATATTAATCACAAGGCACTGGCATGCATGACATTATGACTAGGAGCTGAGCCCCCATAAAACAGCACCATTCCCTGGTTAATACAACCAGGGAATAGTGCTGGGGTTGTTGTAGAGCTATCAGTCCACATAGAGCCAGTATTGTGCGAAAAAGTGATTTTCTGTATTTAAACTGCTTTAAATAACTTGTTGGCCTATAACAGGGGTCCTTAATCCCAGTCCACGAGGGCCAGTGTCCCTGCAGGTTTTAGATCTCACCCTGAGTCAACACACCTGAATCACATGATTAGTTCATTACCAGGCCTCTGGAGAACTTCAAGACATGTTGAGAAGGTAATTTATCCATTTAAATCAGCTGTGTTGGATCAAGGACACATCTAAAACCTGCAGCGACACCGGCTCTCGTGGACTGGGATTGGGGACCCCTGGCCTATAATATGTGAAACATGTCAAATGAATCCATCGTGAATGATATTAAGCCACAAACAGCATTCCTGTTACAAAGTAGAAGTCCCAGTTTTTAGCACAACACCCATTTTACCTCTGACAGTATAAATATATGACAGAAAAATAATGAAAAATCACAACAGGTCAGCTTTTAATGTAGCAAATGATCACATCTGAGAAGCTTTCAATGAATAACTTGATCATTTTCTGTAAGTTAACTCAGTTGTTTAATTGCCCACTTCAATAAGATAAAAAAAAAAAATGACAACACAGAACGAGACCACGTTTTAATCTTAGTTCATTTTTGGTTTTGCACTACGTCTCCACGTTTCTCCAAAGACTTCCATCACTTGTTTTAGTGTCACATAAGCCTCACAACATCAAGTGTTGAGAGAGGATGAGCCCTGGGCAACTATAGAGGACCCGCATTCATCTCTGACCCCGACATGATTGTTGAAGTGTTAAAGACCTGGATGCAAATCAGCGGAGCTCGGCTTGAGCCATTCTGGATTCCCAGAATGGCTCAAGTTACAAGAAGCCTTTCAGTGTGAAGTGTGTCTGAAGAGGGGAAAAAATATAAGAGGAAGAAGTGCTCATCAGACTCCTAGTAACTCACACTTGAGTGCAGTTGATTTCTGCATAACTGTGGGAGATTCTGATGTGGGAAAACATGAAGCATAAAGCGCTATGACTCTGATTTGTTTATTTTGGCCCATGTTTGACTAGAATATTCAAGAAGAAAAAAAACAAAACACAAAAAAACACAAATAAAACATCAGGGGTCACTTAACACTTTGCACTTCACATTTTTAAACACATTAAAATGAATTTGTGTCAGTTACTCTGCTGTACAGTCAAAAGAACTACAAGCCTCGTCAAATCATCACATTAGCGGGGCAACAAAATTCTGCTTTCTCAGGAGGGGGATTATTAACTTTTTAAATCAAACGAGCTCCGAAAAACAAGAAGCATCTCAAGATCCACATCTTGTTCTCTTTTGCTCTCCACGGCTGGTGGAGAGCAAAAGTCAAAAATACATAAAAACAGCATTTACAATATCCATATGTACAAATACAGAATGTATACACACACACACAGACACATACGGTCAGGAAAAATCAAAGGACGTAATTTAGATCTGTTTTTTTTTTTTTTTTTCTTCAATCATGTGTGAGGAGACCAAACTGCTGCTTTTCAATCCTGCATATTGATTTATTCTGCCCCCTTTTGTTAACCGTGCACCTCACACTCTTTAAAGTAGCTGATGTGGGCATGAAAAACAACCTAACCAGCCCATTTTTCCCCAAACACGCAGGGAACTACAAGGAACAAGTGGTGCGACAACGGCACGCGCCCCAAAGTGTAGGGCAGCTCCGACTACAGACAGCTTCACAGTGCGAAGGCAGTTTTTGTTAAGACAAATGTTTAGAAGAAGAAGAAAAAAAACAACAAAACAAAAGCATCCCACAGGGCCGCTTCTGTCTGTCGCCAATTCTACGACAACGTCTCCTCCCTGTATTCTAACCCCTCTCACACCCTTCCTCTCTGTGCTTCAGGAAAACCCACTTTCCTAAAGACTGCTCCACCCAGCTTTCTTCTTCTGCAACACTGGACACCAAAAGACGAATAAGATCTCGCGACGTAGCTCACCCTGATCATGTAATACTGCCTCTTTATGCTCTCTGTGCATCCATCTACAGCTGTGTGCACACTGGGAGGGCTAACTCTGCGCTGCACTACTTTCCAGTGAACTTCTTGCATAAATAAAGAGCAGGTGGAGGAGAGGGGTGGGGCCGAGTGTCCTGAAGTGATCTGATATAGTGAGGAAGAGAAAAATCAAACTTCTGTATTCATGGTCTCAAACACAAACCTCCCTCTACCCCCTCCGGTTAGAAAATGGAACGCGAGTGTGTGTCTGTGGCTCGGGTTAAGTGTGCGAGTTGTGTTTGCCGTTTTGTTTTTTTGTTTAATGCGCCCCTCCCTCCCAGACATCAATAATCACTCGTGTGTCCGCCACCAGGTCTGCGTCACACGCTTAGCAGCCAGAAGAAGAAGAAGATGGCGACGAACAGGAATAGAGAGTCTTGCCAATTGTTATTGCCGTTGTTGCCGTTGCCATTGCCGTTGCCCTGGTGGTCACCGACGTACTGATCTACAGGAAGAGGAGAAGGATTGTGAAGGTTAGTATAGCTGCGAGTGTTTATAGTTTGTTCCTCGAGGAATTTTCCTTGTGCACCTCTGGACTGCATCTGAAGCCATTTTCAGGTTGCTCCTGCTCTGATCGTTTCCTGTGCCAAACTGACTCTGAGCCCACATGTCTTTAGTCTTCAGGGGAAGAATCCACTGAAGTTATTTTCTTCTCCTTTCTAGATCTATTTTAGCAGCCTGTGGCATCTGAGGTTTTTTTTTTTTGCAGTTTGCAGTTTTCCCATTGATAAAACGCAATGTGTACTGGAACATTCTGACCTCTAGAGGGCAGTGTTACTGCATGCTCACACAGCAAATCTCACATTCATGGTTCAAACTCCTCTGTGGAAAATTTTGCCACTAAAAATAAATAAATGTATAGCTTTCCAACTCCAACTTCTGAAAAAAAAAAGTGTTAATTTGTATTTTTTTTGCTCTTGTGGTAGAAACGACCTTCCATACATCAGCACAAGAGAGACTGTACTGACCCCCAGCAAAGAGAGACTGATGGGAAACAGTTTTCACTATAATGCTGGTCAATTTAAATTTAAAATACAATCTATTACAAGTGTCTGGAGATGAGTGACGGAGAAAACATGTGCTTTAAAATGAAACTATACTAAATCTAAGATGCAAAATTAAAGACCAATTAAACAGGTCCAGCAGTGAAACGTGGAGAAATAACAAGGAAGAAACTTTTAGGGTTTTAATCGTGGCTTAGGGGATTAATGCTGCTTAAAACCAATCATTTAGCACACTGATAACCTGAGGGCTTCAGACTCGCAGTCTTGTAATTATTAACACTGATGAGTCAATTTATTCAGGCCTGACCATGGATTTGCTAATGCTTCCATGTCCTACAACTATCATACGCATGCATGTGTAAATCCAAGGAAGAAAATCCAAACATCATTTTTGGATTTGCTAAAATTCTTTTGAGCTGGACTTTAATTAAACACACAGGCTCCTACAGAGAGCCGTGTTATACACTCAGTTTGAATGAATACAAAAGCACAATAATGAATATTTGTTAACGACAAAACTTTATATTATTTTTATTTATATCTCAAGGCTGATATTTTCTGGGGTTCAACTGTAATAGCAGAAGACTTTATTTCCTTTGTTTACCTGCTCTGTGGAAGGGGTCGTTGGCGTTGAAGACTGTTGTGAAGAAGCCGAAGGGGAACGCTCCGATGCCGAAAGACATGTGGAAGCCGGTGTCCCCGAAACCGCGGAACATCTGAGCGAAGAGAGAAACCCGGCAAAGAAGCTTTAATATAAGCTAAACTCAGGTTTTTATTTAAAAACCAGTGTGAAAACATAAACCAACTCACCCCGCCTCTGCTCTCAGGCTCTGTTCTCTGCCCCTGAGGCCGGGGTGGAGTTTTCAACCTGAAACAGCAGAAAGAGTCAGAAAGAAGCTAACAACCAAAAAAGACACACACGCAGCGAAGACTCTGCTCACCTGGGGTCCTCCTGGCTGGAGCTCCCTCTGCCGTACAGTGGGATTACTTTCTCTCTGCTGATGCCCGCCTTGCACACGGGACACTGCTGTCGGCTGGGCCGCGTCTCCAACCACTGATGAGGAGGAGCAGAGCAAGGAGAAGGATGTCAAAATGATTGCAATACACGTCACACAAACCGATCTTTATTTGCCGATTCAAGAGTGGAACCTAAGTGACGCTACCCACTGCATTTTCTAAAACTTTATTTACAGCAAGAGATGTGAAGCACAACATGTTTACAGTGGTGAGCGGTGAAGGAAGTGGCAGTAAGAGGAGGCATTAAGTACATTAGCATCTTTAAGCTGCATTAAATCAAACAACAGGTGCAGCTTCCACACTGAGCTTACATCATCACCCTGAACTGATTGTGCTGATTACAGGCCTCCTCTCAGGACTGTGGACATGCTCAGACCTTCACTGAGGTCTTCCTCACTGTGCTGTTAGTTTGACCCCCTTGAAATGAAGCCAATAATAATCCTGAGCTAAATGCTAGGAGCCCTTACAGACTGTTTCAGCACAAAAAGCCCCACCCACCTGCTGTCCGAACCTTGTGGGTTCGGACAGCAGCCAATCGAAAAAAGGTTTACTTAAATGGAAATCAGCTTATTTAAGAAAGCTGAGGAGCCTCGTCAAGTTCCAGTATAATATAAATAATTATAATTTTGAGCTGTGAATCAGGTACACTTTAAAAACAAATATCACAATTTTTAATATTGAAATTAAATGACCTTGAACTGCTTAATCAAGTCTCTAAAAGCCCTGTAAAAACACACTACAGGAAGTATGAAACACTCACCTGATGAAGACAGGGCCAGCTGTAAAGAGCGAGAAAAGAAAAGATTAATTTACATTCTCACAACAGCATCTTTCAGTTAAAACATCAACAGTAACTCTCATAGACTTTACCTGAATATATAATGGATGAGTTCCAGAGGAGAGCAGAAATTTTAAATAACAGACAAACCTGCTCCTCAAAGGTGGCTGATTAAAATGCTCCCTATTGTTTGCATTAATTGGCTTCATCTGTTTTCAAGACTGCGGGCCAGGCCAACCTGCTGCTGCATTGTGGGAGGCCAGGATGCAGGTTTGGGGAGACGCCCCAACACTGAGGTATTTTCAAGACAAACAGTTCTCAAGTGCTGAATATTTCTTCATATTAACAGCTTATAGCTACTTCAAGGCCACGACAAGCAACAGAAATAGTTTTTGTCACTTTGTGTCATCCACACAAAATGACCAACCTTGAATAAGAAAAAACATATTTACAGCCTGGTACAAAAGCTATTTGGTGGCTGCTGACAGAGGTGGATGTGCAAATACAGTAACTTTTGGCTTATGCATCCATCTTTTATATATGATCTGCACCACTGACATTCTGTCTCATTGGATACTAGGGCTGCCACAAACGATTATTTTGATAGTCGACTAGTCACCGATTATTTTTGCGATTAGTCCACTAATCAGATCATGCATCCATTGTACATAAAACGGACAGCTTATTGCACCAGCATGCATCTGCTCTTATATAACTATCACTAGCTTACAGCTTGAAGTGTTTAAGGTATGTGCTAACTAAAAATAAAGACAAGATGATAGTTTATTCAAATTTAATGAAATGTGCAGATTGTTTCGGTGGAGTTTAATAAACTCAGCCGATTTACTCGGGAACAAATAAAATACTGAAAAAAGCCAAACAATAACATTTTTAAGTTATCTAAGTGATGGTTAACCTGAGTAGCGAAAGACGGCGGTGGGTTTGAAAACGATTTGCCCAGAGTCTGGTGTTCTCACAGGATCTAGTGAGCCTTGAACCACGGTTCGCTATCGAGCTGGTGGATAACAGAGGTCTCCGCAAACGTCGGAGCGCTTTTGAAAATATGTGGTGTCTTGATAAACTGAGCAGATATTTGAGGTTTACACAGCTACATTCTCGCCTGAAAA